TGCGCCATGTTATAAAGTGAATAATCTCAGACTCATTTCTTGAAACTTTTCCACTTAAGTAATTGTGAATTGAGCATATTGACAGACAACATTTTATTTTTTATCTTAAATGCAATTTTTTTTTTTTTATTACTGCTCTAAATGTATTGCTCTGTCAGCTAAAGATCTGTTTTGGTCTCTATACTTTAATTAAATAAATCAATTCAAGCTAAAATGTAAGAGGCTATACTGAGCCTGATCTCTTTGTATTCTTACCTTTTAGAAAAATGTCACTTGGAGTAAAACCCCCCCTGCAACCCTGATTTGCATTTGTATAGCTCACAGCATGTTCATTTACATGTTAAAGCCTCCCCTAGAATTCCATGGGGGGGAGGCATGGGGGGAACACTGCCTAAGAGAGTACACGTCAATTTCTGACAATTTACGGGAGTTTTCGGCGAAGCCTGCAAATTGTCGTAAACTGCCGCTAACCTGAAGTTCCACGACAATCTACAGTGCTGCATATTGACGAAAATCCCACTTTTCATGCAGTGTGTCTAGATAATCTCCTCCTGTGTTATAAGCACCTTCCATGTTTTCTGACTCTGCTACATGTTTTTGGTTACCCCTGCCATCGTTTGACTCCAATATCGTCATTGGGATTGAAATGCGATATATTGCACATCTCTACTCCCAAGCTCCTCTTGGGTGTCGCTGTATCCGGATATACCCTTCTAGGCTTCAACAATTTGCAATTTTTGCTGGTTTGTGTCATGTCTCTGTTTGAGAATCTCCTCCATACTCTGCCCTCAGCTCTCCAATTTCCTGCCTTTGATAGATTTAGTCTCCGACACAAACTACATCACCAATGAGGCTGCTGGTGAGCTAAATTTGAAGAGTGAGGATGTGAAGCTTATAGTCCATGGAGTCGGTGGGATGCAAGTGACAGTGGAGACCAAGCACTACATCCTGAAGATCCAGGTCGCAACCCGAGGGAACCCTCAGATCCCACCAGTGTGTTACCGGCTGGACAGCATAGCAGACGTCAATCGCCGTGTGTCGCCCAAGACTGCAAAAATTATTCCCCGACGTTCCTACTGATGACCTGGTCCGTCCCACCAAAATCAAGCACAAAGAAGGCCAACTCGTCCCTCAGAAGGTGTGCTCCGTCGGTGACCTTGTCCTGTGGGATTGTCTCCTTGGAAAAACAGTTGTTGGCTTTCAACCAGATTTCCTGGAAGATGTCAAAGTCACGGCCCATAGCTCTCCCTGAGAGCTTCTGTCCTTCTGCACTCCTGCTTACCCAACCTCCTCAACATGCGACCCAGCTCTACAGAACTATGGTAATTTGTCAGGCATTTAATTCAGATCTACTGGATGCATTGAAAGGTTGAAGGATGGTAGTTCCAGAACAATGGAGTTTACATACACTTGTTCAGCAGAATGTAGAGTCCTACCAAATCCAGTGTTTCCCAATCATAGATCGCATGTATTTTCAATTTATAATAGATATTAGATTAACATATTTACTACATGACAAATCCATTCCATTTGTATATATTTTACATGTGAACTTTCTCTAAAATCATTTTAACACAGTGACTGATACTAGGCAAAAACTGAGCCTTTTTCACTCATGGTGTTCACACTAAAAACACTAATGCTGCTCTTATACCAAAGGCTGATGCGCTTGGAGGGCATTTTTGATTAGCCTCATGAGACCATCCTGATGCTTTCATGGTTTCACTCGCAGATCAGTCTGGAGACTCTCCGTTAAAGAAAATTTGGAGCCGTTCACCAAACGAACGTCCAATCACCGTTGGCTTTGAGGCGGGTTGAGGTGTGACACAACGAGAAGCGTGACAGTGACATGGCGGCTTCAGCCGATGAAACTAGCGTTAGCGTGGCTATCGAGCAAGTTTTATCGGAATTACAGAGTATTTCTTCAGTGAAAGAAGAGCAAAACACTGCTCTGGAGGCTTTTCTCAGAAGAAAAGATGTTTTTGCTCTTCTCCCGACTGGCTTGTGGTTGTGTTTTCGTCGTCGCTCTCTTAGTACGTCATATGCTTCGTTGATCTGATTGGTTTATTTGGCCCGTCTATCACCAACATCAATCAGCCAATCAGCTAACCAGTATTTTCGCCCCTTCCCAAAATTACTTCAAAGGAAGGTTTCCAGATGGATATGCGGAGCAAATCCATCTGGCAGAGTCAGGTCAATTTTTGATGCCATGCAAAGTGTGTTTAGATACATATGACGCCTTTTCCTAGCCTCTATGTAAAACAGAAAATAACATTGAGAGACTGCCTTTATTTATTATGATTAATGGAAAAAAAAGGTAACTTTAAGATGATTTTAAGAGAAAGAGTGCACCTCGGAACGTCTTCTATGCCGTCAGTTCATCAGGATTATAATCCTGGTTTTACATTTTATAGCTGTAAAGGTAGACTGGCCAGGCTCTCAGGGATTTTTCTCGCTCCCGTTTGTAGCAGCTGGAGTTCAATATAAGTGTTTTTGATGGTAAAATCTGAAAGTACCAGAATATAGATTTAAGCATATTTTGCTGACAGGTTTTGATATATTATGTAGTTTTTTTTTTTACACTATTTCCACACGTTTCTTTCTACATAAAAAAATACAAACATCTTTAAATATATACTTGTTTATCAACGCATTTATCAGAGCTTGGAAGCGGTGATAAACATACTGCGTCAGATGCTTAAATTGCTAAAAGACCTTTTGAAGCCCCTTTATGACTTAGACTTTGACAGACTTTTTTGTCATTTTGTACACACAGAGTGTAAACCAAACAAAATTTCGTTCAGTACAGCTCTCAAGCCATTTTCTGAAAGTTCAACAATGATAAAATGTAAACATGGTGATCAAATGTAAACATAAGACTGAGATATGATTTACAGTTTTTCCAACATTCAGCACTTTTTTTCTCCCCGTTTTTTTTTTTTTCAACATTCAGCAATCTAATGGCGGTGGGGAAGAAGCTGTTACAGAATCTGCTGCAGAATCCAGGAATTTGGTGCTGCTGACCACCTCTACAGCTGAGCTGTTGATGAGCAGTGGAGCGTGAGAGCTGTTCCTGGCCGCTGCCGCGAGGCGCAGATCAGTCTGGAGAATCTCCGTTGAAGAAAATTTAGAGCCATTCACCAAACGAACGTCCAATCAGCGTTTGCTTTGAGGCGGGTTGAGGTGTGATGCAACGAGAAGCGCGACAGTTCAGTCTAAAGAACATGGCGGCTTCAGCCGATGAAACTAGCGTTAGCGTGGCTATCAAGCAAGTTTTATCGGAATTACAGAGTATTTATTCCCTGAAAGAAGAGCAAAACACTGCTCTGGAGGTTTTTCTCAGAGGAAAATATGTTTTTGCTCTTCTCCCGACTGGTTTCGGCAAGAGCAGCCTGGCTGTTAGTACGTCATATGCTTCGTTGATCTGATTGGTTTATTTGGCTCGTCTATCACCAACATAGGCCAATCAGCTAACCAGTATTTTCGCCCCTTCCCAAAATTACTTCAACGGAAGGTTTCCAGATGGATATGCAGAGCAAATCCATCTGGCGGAGTCAGGTTAGCGAGACGCCACCTTGATCCACATATTATGCTCGGTCACCATACCATACCAACTTTATTTATGAAGCACTTTATGCACCGGACAGGACCAAAGTGCTGTACACAATCATAAAATACAATAAAATTATAAAATAGAAAAAAAACCGAGTGTAAAATACTTATTAGTATACAAACAGAATAAAACAAAGTAAAAACTCTCAAATTGTGCCAAAAGCCAAGGAAAAAAGATGAGTCTTAAGAAGGGACATAAAAATAGCAAGTGAAGACGCCATAGATTTTGCACATTATCCAGCTACAACAACACTCAAAGGAGTCTGATTTGATGCTGCATTGCTGTGGTGCATTTGTGGATCAGAAATACAACACTTTCTTTTTTTTTCAGCTGGCCAGTTATCTGTCATTCTTAATGCTCTTTCAGTTTTATCATATATATCCTGAACAACTGGGACATTTTACTTATAAAGAAACCTCTTTTTGTGGAAGAAATAAGATCACATACGATGATCCTAACTTTCCTAGATACCAGATGGGAGATGATAACTAGATGTGTAGCTGAACCCAATAAAGAATGCTTAATTCATGAAGCAAACAGGTATGTTTTCCCATGCCCTTCAAATTGAACGTTGCATGCTCACAGCAATAATTACACTTAAAAGAAAAATAAAAGCTAATAAGTTTTCCGGACACCTGGGGAGACGATAGTCTTCCTGCGATATTATTTCTCCCATTAGGGAGCTTTATCTACATAACCCGACTGCTCTAGCTTTCAGGCGACCAGCAGGAGCTCCTATAACCTGATTGACTGACTGATCAATTATAGTCCTGCATGTTTGAAATGACTAATATGAGGAAAGTGAGTGACAGGCTGCGGTTAAAAATACATGCTCTGTGGGAACACTAATGGAGGCTGAGGCAAGATTCGGCAGGTTTTCCCTGCGGAGCTCACAGCCACACATTCTGCCTGCGCTTCCTTTGAACGTTGCAGCTTTATTTGGAGTCTGGGCTTCAGTTTGTAGACTGACAAAAGAAAGTTGCAAGAGGCAAACACAGAAATGGGTCTGATATTCATGAGGTGGTATTCATGAGCGTCTCCCATCCTCTCCGCTAACCACCGTTTGAAGTTAAATCCTTATCTTTTGGCTCGGTGGGAACCATCTGTTTTTCATCATTTCTTCTCCTCCCTCTTCTGTTTCGGATCTTGAACGATCCCCTCCTCCAAAAAAACCTCGGCTCGGTGAGGAGACGATGCTCGTCCCTCACTGAGCGATTTGTTTACTCCTGTGCGATGTTAGGCGTGTTGTAGTCTCCTGTGGGAACCTCTCCTGGGAGTCAAACTACACTCAGATATTTGCTCTGGCAGCTGGAAGGAGCCGACGCTGTAATGCTTCTTCTTTTGACGTGTTTCTCTTTCTCTGTTTTCTTCCTTCATGTTTCCTCAGATTACACGGATCGGCCTGATTGTTCACAGAACCAAGGCTCAGGATTTCCAGGTCTTAGCGGGCTCAGCGGGGTTTCTGATGGCTGCCTATTGTGTTGGTAAGAACCCTCAAAGCGGAGCTGTTGTTCCTCAACAGGGAACCCTCAGCAGCAGTTCCTTTCAACCAGAAGTCAGATGAAAAACCACATCTAATTGTTTTAATATCTTCATGTTTGGTCTTTAGATTTTCCTTTGTAGAAACACATTTATCTGTTTATTCTCAGATCATCAGCACAGGAAATGTCAGAATAACTCTTAGTTGTGGATAGGTAGCTTCAGATATTCCAAATTTTACACAAAAACACAAAAAATACTGAAAAATCTGTTTAAAAAACACCCTTTAAAATCCTTTACTCTATGCCTTACAGTACCTTTGAAATGAACTAAATATTGACAGTTATTGTAGGAACGTCTAGTTGATTATAAAAAGATTTTTATTTTCCTGAGGCAATAATATGATGAGAAACTGAGGCTTATTTTAATTGTCCACTGGTTGGATGGAGACACATAAGGGAAGTAAAAAGTCTCCAAATTTCATCTTGGGGTCAGCAGGTATGTCATGACATTTAGTAGATAGTATTTGCTATCAAATAATGCTCCCCCTAATTAAAGGAATAGTACACCCAAAACATGATTAGCCTTCATTTTCTACTCAACCCCATGCTGAACAACACTCTGGAGTACTTTTTTGATATCTCAAATGCATCTGGAGATCTGGGAGGCTTCTTGCCGTCTGCTGACATTCAAATAATGGAGGTCTATGGCGCCCGAGGCAGAAAGGTCCATAAAAGTCCACAAAAAACGTGTCAGTATTCCTCCATACTGCTCGTCCAATGTATTCCAAGTGTCCTGAGTGGGTAGCGTCCATAATTTACTCGAAACGAAGTCATTTAGAATGTTTTTAGAGCATAAACAGTAGTGTATAGGATTTCCTAAAAGCGCGCGCCTGCGCGTTAATATTGACACGTTTTTTGTGGACTTTTATGGACCTTTCTGCCTCGGGCGCCATAGACCTCCATTATTTGAATGTCAGCAGACAGCAAGAAGCCTCCCAGATCTCCAGATGCATTTGAGATATCAAAAAAGTACTCCAGAGTGTTGTTCAGCATGGGGGTGAGTAGAAAATGAAGGCTAACCATGTTTTGTGTGTACTATTCCTTTAAGAACTCAACAAAGACTTAAATTAGGGATTAAAGGGCTAATCTCTCAGCAGGACCTTGAAAAATGAATTCCTGCTTCATTCGTCTTTAGTAGAACTGATCCGTGCAGCGATGTCTTCATAGGTCTGCCTAAAAATGGATCAGACAGCTGCAGCTGATCCAGAATTCTGCTGCCTGAGTCCTCACTAGAACTAAGAAAATGGAGAACATCAGCCCAGTTCTAAAGTCCTTCCTTTGGCTTCCCACAACTCAGATAATATACTTTAAATTCTTCTGTTCGTAGATAAATCACTGAAATGCTTTGCTCCAAAATACACAACAGACTTGAATCAGAATCAGAAATACTTTAATAATCCCAGAGGGAAATTATTTTTGTTACACGCTCCAGTTACAGTTTTATACAATATATACACACATCCAACTATACAATATAATAAAGAAAAAAAGAGTAAGAATAAAAAGAGATAAAATATATACACATATAGCTCTTCTGTCTATATATCTGTATTTTTATCTATGCGTATGTAAAAACTAAATCCAAATAAAGTGAAAATCCAAGTAAAATGATACACTATATTGCCAAATGTATTTGCTCACCCATCCAAATTATTGGAATCAGGTGTTCCAATCACTTCCATGGCCACAGGTGTATAAATTCAAGCACCTAGGCATGCAGACTGTTTTTACAAACATTTGTGAAAGAATGGGTCGCTCTCAGGAGCTCAGTGAATTCCAGCGTGGAACTGTGATAGGATGCCACCTGTGCAACAAATCCAGTCGTGAAATTTCCTCGCTCCTAAATATTCCACAGTCAACTGTCAGCTGTATTATAAGAAAATGGAAGTGTTTGGGAACGACAGCAACTCAGCCACGAAGTGGTAGGCCACGTAAACTGACGGAGCGGGGTCAGCGGATGCTGACGCGCATAGTGCGAAGAGGTCGCCAACTTTCTGCAGAGTCAATCACTACAGACCTCCAAACTTCATGTGGCCTTCAGATTAGCTCAAGAACAGTGCGCAGAGAGCTTCATGGAATGGGTTTCCATGGTCGAGCAGCTGCATCCAAGCCATACATCACCAAGTGCAATGCAAAGCGTCGGATGCGGTGGTGTAAAGCACGCCGCCACTGGACTCTAGAGCAGTGGAGACGCGTTCTCTGGAGTGACGAATCGCGCTTCTCCATCTGGCAATCTGATGGACGGGTCTGGGTTTGGCGGTTGCCAGGAGAACGGTACTTGTCTGACTGCATTGTGCCAAGTGTAAAGTTTGGTGGAGGGGGGATTATGGTGTGAGGTTGTTTTTCAGGAGCTGGGCTTGGCCCCTTAGTTCCAGTGAAAGGAACTCTGAATGCTTCAGCATACCAAGACATTTTGGACAATTCCATGCTCCCAACTTTGTGGGAACAGTTTGGAGCTGGCCCCTTCCTCTTCCAACATGACTGTGCACCAGTGCACAAAGCAAGGTCCATAAAGACATGGATGACAGAGTCTGGTGTGGATGAACTTGACTGGCCTGCACAGAGTCCTGACCTCAACCCGATAGAACACCTTTGGGATGAATTAGAGCGGAGACTGAGAGCCAGGCCTTCTCGTCCAACATCAGTGTGCGACCTCACAAATGCGCTTCTGGAAGAATGGTCAAAAATTCCCATAAACACACTCCTAAACCTTGTGGACAGCCTTCCCAGAAGAGTTGAAGCTGTTCTAGCTCCAAAGGGTGGACCGACGTCATATTGAACCCTATGGATTAGGAACGGGATGTCACTTAAGCTCATATGTGAGTCAAGGCAGGTGAGCAAATACTTTTGGCAATATAGTGTACGTGGCGTGCAAAAAATAGTGCATAAAAGTCAATTGGGGGTGGGGGTGAATCACCCGAGGAAGGCGTTATAGAGGTTGTTGTCAGTGGATCAACAGCCAGACCTCTCAGCTCTACTGGATCTAATGTATTTGGGAAACCCACCGAACATGGATGATCAGTTTTCAATCCTTATGTAAAATAAATTAATAATGTAAATCCCTTTATTGGTCCACAGTAGGGAAATTTATTCTTTGCATTTTGACCCATCCCCTTGAGGAACAGTAGGCTGCCATTGTGCGGCGCCCGGGAAGCAATCAGGGGTTAAGATACCGTGCTCAGGGACCCAGAGTGGAGGCTGTGGGGATCGAACCGGGTACTTGCAACCTTCTCAAAGCATAATTGCACTGCTTTATCCCACTAGGCCAACACTGCCCTACTAATCTAGAACAAACTCTCAGAAAACTAAAAGTACTGAAAGCCTGAGTTGCTTGAATGGGAGATTAAGAGTGTAATTGTTAATAGCTGCCCCTGACTGTGCTAGCTAAACATTTTTTATCAATCGTTTCATTTTTTTTTTATCTTACCATCTTATTCTAATTGTTTTTATTCTTTTATAATCTTCGTTAACTTTATGCTACTATAATATACTTTTTTTTTTCCTCATTTAAAGTGCTTTTAATTGTCGTGCCACTGAAATGTGCCTTATGAAACTTTTTTCTTTTCCTTGGCTCAGAGCTCAGAGCAGCAAGTCCCAAGGACCCGCAGTGTCACTCCGCTACACTTCTCTCTCTCCTTTCTTCTTCCACTGCACACTGACAGGTATGCAGTGGAAGAAGAAACTGCTCCAGGCAACCCTTCAAGATTTTGTTTCTTTTTTTTTTTGTAAAGCTAGAGGGCAAACATGTCCAACAATGTCATGGCAGTGTGAAAAATAAAGGAATTTGTCTTAAGAAATATAGTAATATAGCGCCAAACTATAAAAAAAACTGCGTGGCTTGAAATAAGGCCACGGTCTGCTTAAGTTTGGAAGGCCTTAAGATCCATCCACTATGGTTTGTTTTGTCTGAAAGAAAGGCTGACATTTTTACTTTATTTAAAAAAAAATGTTTATATATGTATATATATATATATATATATATATGTGTATATATATATATTTGTCTTTTTCTGGTTGAGTTTCACAAACTGCATTCTTTTCAAATTTGAGTTTTACACATTGCATTCTCTTCACTTGAGACATCATGTCTTTTCTCCCAACCTGTTTACATTTGATCACTGCTGCACTTTATGGAATGGAAATGTTTCTGATATACACTCAGTGTAAACAAAAGAACAGTAAAAGTTGTCTAAGTCAAATTCACTTCGAGGCCGAATCACATGCTAATGCTTGACACACATATTGACAAATAAAAACATTGCTAACACCCAGCAGACCAATAGAGATGCGTCCTTACTATTACTTTTAAACTATTAATTCAATTCAATTCAGTTTATTTATATAGCGCCAAATTCACAACACATGTCATCTCAAGGCACTTTACAGTTCAACCAGATCATACAGTCAGATTGATTCAAAGTTTTCTATCTAAGGAAAACCAGTTGATTGCATTGACTCATTGACTCAAATACAATCCCTCACACTAAGCATGCTTGTAGCGAAAGTGGAGAGGAAAAACTCCCTTTTAACAGGAAGAAACCTCCAGCAGAACCAGGCTCAGTGTGAGCGGCCATCTGCTGACGCTGACTGGGGTTCAAGGAGACAGAAGCAGAGACACAAAAAGCAGCTGTAAAAGGCGGCCCGGTCCAGGAAACTGTTATATTGTTTAACAGAGACCTGGATGAATTTCTGATTTCCTATGCATAAATGAGCTAATGAGCGGATCGGGAAACAGCGGTGGGGGAAAAAGCACATCATAAATCCAGCTATTTTGTTCCAGATACTGCCTCCCAGTACAGATGCTGGATCTTACAGATTTAAGCTGCCCTGCTGACGCAGCACCTCCTGTAAACATCCTTAGTAACAACAATTTGAGCCCCAGTGATGTGCTGGTTGGTTTCAGCTCAGTCCTGGTGAGCCTATCTTACCAGGATGGAGAAGTG